GGGGGCAGATATGCGGATGTGTGTTTAGAATAGTAGCTGTCCAGGTAATGCGTATTGGACGGATCTGGCCATGCAGGTTTGTGCCTCCCTCGCCCTGTGTACCAGCACAGGAGGCGGCAGCTAAGTCTGAGTCAGAGGGGAGGGGGGAGAGTGGGACGAGCTGTATCAGAAACATGATCCGTGTCTCATGGGTGTGGAGCAAGGGACACCTCCTTGTGGATGAGGGAGTTTCAGGGCAGATCGGAAGAGGTTGAAACCAGAGGCAAGAGGCCCGTAGGGGTTCCGAGAGGGCTGGGTCCAGCGTGCACAGTGGGAGCCACTGGAGTCTGGCTTCACGAGAACGTTGAGAGGGAGCCTCCAGCGGAGGAGCTCGGAGACCTTTTGAGCCCTTCTGTCTGGCGCTCCAGGATCCTGGGATCTCTGCACCCCTATTGCTCTCTTTGGCTTTTTTGCTCTAATTCTTTTGGGGTCCCCTCCAGGTCGGGTGCTCTGACCCGCAGTAGCCCTGCTGCAGGGCCCGCACTCCTGTGGCTGCCCCGCCCTCGTGCCCAAGCTGCTGTTCCCTCATGAACACTTACCCCTCCTACCCGCCTTGGTTCGCGCTCCTCCTGAGAACTTTCCATCTGAATCCCGTATTTTAGCACTTTCTTATATTTAATAAAGACTTATTCAATCAAGTCCTCATTGATTGAGTGGCCGCTAAATGCCAGGCGCTGTGCGGCCCTCGCGGGCTCAGCACAGGAGAGACAGTCAGCAGGTTATCGGGAAAGTGCTGCAAAGTGACGTTGATGGCACTGGAGATGGAGGCCTGTCTGTGGGGTGACAGCTGAGCTGCGGCTTGAAGGGGGGGAGGGGCGGCCATGCAAGAGCCAGCAGAGAGGGCGTTAGAGGCAGAAGCAGCAACATCGCCTGAAGGCTCCAGGTCCAGGAGTAGCTTAGGTTCCAGAAACTGAACGGAAACTGACTGGGCGGGAGCTCTCTGGGCTGGGAGAGTGGATGGCGATGGCAGTGGAGAGCTGGGCAGGGTCCCGGTGGAGGTCCCTGTGGGCCACGGGAGGGGTTAGAGTTCATTCCGAGAGGGGACCCTTTGAAGGGCTTCCAGCCAAGGGAGGCGTGACCTGTTCACTTCATGGAGAGTGGGCTGGAAGAAGGAAACACAGGTAGAAGGTCCAGGCAAGGCAAGGCGGCCAGGGCCAGAGCGGTGATCGGGGGCCAGTGTGCGGTACTTCGGAGCTGGTCTTGCTGATGGATGGGCGGTGGGGTGAAAGGGGAGAGGGGAGTCGGAGATCACTCCCAGGAGGAGCAGGGGTGGTGACGGTGGTGGTTTCATTTCATGAGACAGGAGGGCAGAGGCAGGGATATGTTGAGGGGGTGCGGGGGGTGAGTTCCTTCTTAAACATACCAAGTCTCCGCCAACTGGGAGACATTCCAGTGGAGATGTCAGGCCGTCGGAACGTAGATCTGGAGCAGAGAAAGGTTCAAGGTGGAGAGAGACTCTTGGAAATACACATGGAATCTAAACCTATGGGTGCGGCTGGGTTACTGTATCTGTTTCCCAGGGCAATGGAAACATGTTCCACAAGATGCATGACTTAGAGCAACACCAGATATTTATGTTCTGGAGGCCAGAAGTCAAAATCAAGGTGTCGGCTGGGACATGCTCCCGCGGAGCCTCCAGGGGAGGGTCTGTCCTGCTGTCCCCAGCTCCTGGTGGCTGCCACGTTCCGTGGCTTGTGACAGCATGACCCTCTCCACGGCCATCTTCACACGGCCCTCTTCCCTCTGCCAGTGTCCAGATTTCCTTCTCTTGTAAGGACACCAGTTCCATTGGACTAAGGGCCCACTCTACTCCAGTGTGGCATCGTCTTACATAATTACACCTTCAGCAACCCCATTCCCAAACAAGGTCCCATTCTGAGATGCCAGGGGTTAGGACTTCAACCTGTCTTTTGTGGGGGACACAATTTAACCCATGACAATGACCTAGAACAAGGATGAAAAGAGAAAAGAAGGGTCCTAGGACTTCGCCATCATGTTGGGTAGAGGAGAAGCCAGCAAAGAATATGGACAAGCCAGAGAGAGACGCAGGGCGGGTGTGGGTGTGGGTGGTGGTCTGTTGCCCAACGTGACGGGGCTGAGAGGCTGACTGGTGGAAGGGACAGTGTGGTCACCGCTGAACTTGACCAGGGCGGCCAGCGGTGGGGCAGAGGGCAGAGCCCAGTTAGAGGGGGTGACAGGGTGATGGGACGCAAGGCTGTGGAAAGAGCGGATGATCACTCTCTAGACTCTAAACCTGTGGGTCGCGGCCCCTTTGGGGATTGAACGACCCTTTTGCGGGGGTCACCTAAGACGTAACAGTAGCAAAATTATGGTTATGAAGTAGCAACAAAAATCATTTCATGGCTGGGGGCCACCACAACAGGAGGAGCTGTATTAAAGGGCGGCGGCATCAGGAGGGTTGAGAACCGCTGCTCTAGAGGTTTGGCTTTGGAGGGAGACAGAGAAACAGGGCAGCAGGTGCCAGGAGAAGAAGGGATTAAGGAAGGTTTGGTTTGGTTTGGGGTTTGTTTTGTTCGTGTGTTTTGCCTTTTTTTTTTTTTTTTATCCTCACCTGAGGACATTTTTCTATTTTTTATTCAGATAGAGCAGGAGGGAGAGAGAGAGAGAGAAACATCGATGTGAAAGGGACACATTGAGTGGCCACCACCCGCACGACCCAGCCAGGGCCGGGGACAAACTGCAGCCGAGGTACATGCCCTTAGCGGGAACCGAACCCGGGTCTCTGTGAACCGCAGGCCGACGCTCTAACTGCTGAGCCAAACCGGCCAGGGCCGCTTTCCGTCATGGACGCAGCCAGAAGACTGTCTTGCTGTACCTACCATGGGTCCACCAATGGCTGTCACTTCACTTTCTGATGGAAAAGGACCGGCAGTGACTTTCCCAGGCCCTGCTCTTGGAACCTCAGCTGACGAAACCGTCTGGTGGTCGCTGAGGTGCCCTTCGCGTGACAGCCTCATCTGTTGGGGTCCGCCTGGAACACCGTTAGGGAACAGAAACTGGGCGGTGGGTTCCAGAGGTCCCAGCAGCCTGCTGAGGGGCATGGGAACCATGAGGACACTTGACTAACCTCATGGGAAGAGCAGCCCATGGTCACGCCAGAGAGGCCCCCTCGGAGCCAGACCAGCCTGTTCCGGAGACCCACCCGGAGACTGGACTGTCCAGGCCGCCAAGGGCACAGGTGCAGGTGACAGGAACAGGGGTCAGCAGCCCGCAAAGGAGGGCTCCTCGGAACCAGCACCAGGACAGCGAGGACAGACGTGTGGCGTAAACACGTTGTCTTCTCGATCACGTTCTTTGCAGATATTGCTTCTTTTCGGAGGGATGTGGGTGTTGTTGTTTTTCAATCCTCACCTGAGGGAGAGAGGGAGGGAAGGAGAGAGACATCGACATGAGAGAGACACATCGATTGGTTGCCTCCCGCACGATTCCGACCAGGGCTGGGGACCGAACCCAGTGACCGAGGCTGGTTGTGAGATCGCAGGTCCCATGACACAGGACAGTCCGGCAGTGACATAAAACCTCCGAGGACAAGAGCAGCCTCCCGTGTTCACACGAATGGTCAGCAATCAGGCCCGGAGGAGACCAGGACTGGAGAGGGGCCGCGTGCCGAGCAACACTGGCAAGCCGAAGCCGCCGGGCAGTCAGGGGACAGGGACCGGACGGGCCCCATAACCCGAGACACTTGCCCCACCCTCCACTGTCTCTGCCCAGAACGAGGACGGTGGCCCTCTGTAGGCACCCAGCACGGTGCTGGGTCCCCAGCTCGAAGGAAGCCAAGAAACTCCTTTTTACATACAAAACAGCAAGACTTTGTAACAGGACACTTGGTTTTTTTTTCGTTTGTTCAATACTGTTACATAGAGGAAAAAGATTAGCGATGAGAGCGAGTGTATAGGAGCAGGTGGGGAGGTGTTCTGGAAGTGGGGAAGCTGGGCTCCGGGGCCAACGCAGGTGGAAGTGGTTTTGATCCAACTCCCTCGGGCCCCCGCCCCCGCTCCAGGGCAGGAGGGGGGCACCTCCTTCGTTCTTCATGGGCAGGTTCTAGACGAAGCAGAATAATGCCTGTCATGGTCAGCGGTGGGGGCCACGTGTTGAAAAACACAGCCTGTGTTCACATCTCACACTTCGAACTTGGTCTTCTCGGGAATGGACCCCACCTCCTTGTGGCCAATTCTTAGAAAAGAAGACGCACCCTGTGGTCTGTCTGGTTTTGATGACTAGCTGCGTGTGAAATGTTCTGAGTGGAGGTGACTTTCTTCAGAAGCGCAGCAAATGACTGCCTGTCACAGGAAGGGCCACCACTCCTACAGTCGGGAACAGGCCTAGGGTGGGATTCTTGCTGACATCCAGGCTGTCGTTCACGAACATGGTTCCGTAACTGTAATATGAGAGAGCGTTTTAGGAGATTAACCTTTTAGAAGCTAATGGGAAAAAAATAGTATTTCCTTGGGAAAATGGGATACAAACCCCTAAGAAAGGGATTGTTGGCACGGACGGGTATGGGATTTCATCCCATTATTCTGGGTGGAGGCAACTTGTTTTATACAGTATATTGTTGAAAATAGAACCCCTGTATTTCAGAATTCCTTTGTAAAACCTGGGCGTTCTCTAAACATCGGTTTCCCCCGTTTTCCGCGGCAAAGGAGAAGTCCCGGGCATCTCCACGGTGGTTCTTAGCTCCTCTGGTCGGAGTGTAGCGGTGATGAAGTCAGTGGATGGGTTCCCTCTGGGTCTGTTCCAGCCATCTGCCGGGCTCCCTGCTCACGGGGAGGACCACGCCAGAGATTGGGGGGTCACTGTAACACAGTGTGGGAACCACAGGCCCTTTTGAGGGGTCAGTAAGGGCACCTTGGGTTTGACAGATAGGACTGTATGTGGAATTCATAACAGCTGCCTGCATTTCTGAACTGCTAACGCTTTCTTCCACTCTTCCTGTCCAGGGCCCCCGAGATCATCCTGGGTCTGCCATTCTGCGAGGCTATCGACATGTGGTCCCTGGGCTGCGTCATCGCCGAGCTGTTCCTGGGCTGGCCGCTGTACCCAGGCGCGTCCGAGTATGACCAGGTGGGTCCCGGCCACCCAGGGATTCCCGACAGGAGCGCCCGTGTCATTCAGGACGTGACACGTGGGTGACGTTGTGGGTGTGATGTCGTCTCTCAAACCTTGCTTCCCTCAACCTTGCTTTTCTCTCTTTATTCCTCTTTCTTTTCCCTTTTTCACGTCTCACTTCTTTCTTTCTCTGTAAGGCTGTCGTCTTCGCGGAGGTGCTGAGCCGCGCCTGTCGCATGCACGGCGACAGGAAACGCCCCGACCTCACTCTCTCTTCTCTTGCAGATTCGGTATATTTCACAGACACAGGGTTTGCCAGCTGAATATTTATTAAGCGCAGGGACAAAGACAACTCGGTTTTTCAACCGTGACACGGACTCGCCGTATCCTCTGTGGAGGCTGAAGGTAGGAAGCGCGTCCCCTGGTCCCTCACCAGCGCCCAGCACCGGGGAAGGAGGGCGGGGGCTGATCCGCGGGGAGCTCTGGGTGGCACCCGCCTGGTGGGGGAGGGGCCGCTGTGAGCCGAGGTGTGGGTGAATTTGAAGGCTCAAAGGCTCCACTTTGCCTGGCCTGCTGCTGTCTGCAAAGCTCAAGTCCCAACTCCGATGGCTGAACTCCCAGAATCAGGTGACCCTTGGTGACCTGAGTGGTCTGTGTAGAGAGAGAGATGAAGCACCCCCTGCCTTCAAGGGGCTCCCAGTCCAGAGAGAGACTGAACACAAGGCCCCCGTAATGCGGACCCTGTTCCTGGGGGCGCAGAGGGTGGGAACCTGTATGACCGCCTGCGGCAGAGGGGCCAGAGGAGCCTCTGAGCCAGGCCCTGAGGGAGGAGGGGGTCTTCGGGGCTGGAAACAGCCCAGGCGGAGGGTCCCCTCCCCGGCCGCGGGCCCCACAGCGCGCTGTCCCACGGCAGGGGCTGGCGTTCAACTTCAACACAAACATGTTTTGCTTTCACTTTTTTTTATCTACGCCTAGTGATTAAAATTGATACATTTTCCTGTGAGGAGAAAAGAATGCTGTCTTAAGTATGTTTTATGTTTATTTGAGGTGCTTCTCTCTTTCTATGAGAGAGTGGGCGGGTGTTTTGTTTTTGTGTGTGTGTTGTTTTTTTTGACAGAAACCACAGCCAAATTCTAATATGATTTAAAGATAATGTGTGGAATCTAATGAACAAAATAAATAAACAAAATAGAAACAGACTCATAGATACAGAAACCAGACTGACAGCCGTTGGGGCCAGGGGAGGGGGTGATTGGGAAGCTGGATGGGGAAAAAAAGCAAAGGGATTAAGCAAATAAAAAAACCCTCCTAGAAACAGACAACAGTATGGCGATTACCAGAGGGGCGGGGGGAGGGGAGAGACTTGACCTTGGGAGGTGAGCACACAGAACAGTGGACAGATGATGTATTAAAGAACTTGTACACTTGAAACCTGTGTAATTTTATTAACCAGTGTCACCCTGACAAATTCAATAAAAATAAATAAAATAAAGATAATGTGTGGCCAAGAGTCACAGAAGATTTAGAAGAGAGATTTGGGAGCTAAGCGAGCACTCGGGCTGTTGGCGGGAGGGCTGGTGGCCCGCAGCTGCGCAGCTGCGAGGTGAGTGGCTCAAGGTCAGGTGCAGGCGAAAGAGCCCTGGGGTGAGGAGGGGCAGCCAGGCAGGAGCAGGGCTCACGTCTCAGTGAGAGCCTCAGTTTTTCTTGTCCAGCCCTTCCCGGCATCGAAGCCTAGATCTTAGCAGCTCCATGTGTGTTGTCCTTGAATGAGATTTTGAGGAAAATCACCTGTGATCCATGACTGAGTCTAAAAACCTGTAGTAACTGGAAAGAGCAGCTTCCCAGACCAAGGCCGCGGGGAAGCGGACGGGTGTGCCCCAGCCCCAGGCAGAGACGCAGCACAGAGCAGACTCAGAGCCGGCTGCCCCGGCTGGCCCTGTGACCTTGCAGGCTCCTTACGCTTTCTGTCCCCGTTTGTCCCTCTGGAAACGGGTTGGTGGTCGGCCTACCTGAGATGGTTGTAAAGACTCTTAAATATGCTCTAGAAGACTGCCTGGCACGCAGTGAGAGCTATATGAATGTGTCTGATAAAAAATGAAATTACAATTGTGAAATGTGTGGGAGAGGGCTTCTGCTTTCCACATACGGAATCTTACCTTATCCCTTAAATTAGGGGGAATGTAGGGTTATCACGGATACCGCATACCTTGTTTACCTTGGAATCCTCCGGACCTGCCTCAGCCACACCCCCTGGCTGGTGTTTGTGGGAAGGAAGAGGGGTGGGTTAGTGTGGAGGATGAAGAGAAAAAGTAATTAGTGTGCAGGTCACTTTAAAAGGAATCAAAGTCCCTGGCTGGTGTGGCTCAGTGGTTGAGCATCGATCAACCCATGCACCAAGAGGTCACCAGTTCGATTCCCCGCCAGGGCACGTGCCCAGGTTGTGGGCCCGATCCCCAGTGGGAGGCATGCAGGAGGCGGCCAGTTGATGTTCTTTCTCATCGATGTTTCTGTCTATCTCCCTCTCCCTTCCTCTCTCTCTAAAATCAGTAAAGAAAAAAAATTAATAAGAGGAATCAAAGTTTCCTTCTCTGAAAGGTAGGAGAAAAGACCCTCTGTGAGAAGCAGAAGCTCAAGGTTTTAGGTCCCAGAGCCCAGGAAGTAATTCACATTACCAATCGGCTTTTGCCTCTCTTGACCAGACACCCGATGACCATGAAGCAGAGACGGGGATTAAGTCAAAAGAAGCAAGGAAGTACATTTTCAACTGTTTAGATGACATGGCCCAGGTAAGCTCCGTGGGTGAGTATGCAGTGCCAGCCCTTTGAAAACCAAGCACGGCACGACTTCTGCAGAAGCAACCTGGGTGGCGGCTAGGAATCCGCGACACTCAACTGCGGTGGTCAGCCTTGACCTTAGACATGCCCGCCTAAGTAAGAAGACCACTGGGTTTGCGGAACATTTTTAAAACCTTACACCAGCTCTTTAAAAATAGCTTCAGTGTATTGGCTCCCATTTGTGAAACAGCACTAGCCAATCTAACTGACGTGCTCATGGGAAGAAGCCCATTGGTACATTGGAGTTGAATGCCCTTGACTCGGTGTTAGTGCTCAGGGCCGAGTGGCTTCAGACAACAGGCATTTGTTCTCCCACGGTTCTGAGGGCTAGAAGTTTGGGATCAAAGTGCCAGCAGGGCCAGGCTCTAGGAAGAAACTGTCCCGTGCCTGTCTCCTAGCTCCTGGTGGCCCCCTGGCTGTGCTCAGTGTCCCTGCATCCCCCAGTCTCTGCCTCCTTCATGTGGCCTCATCTTGTGGTTCCCCCTGGCCTCTACATTAAATCTCTCTCTTCTTTATCTTAAAAAAGAGTAGTTCTCAACCTTCCTGATGCCGCGACCCTTTAATACAGGTCCTCATGTTGTGGTGACCCCCAACCATACAATTATTTTTGTTGCTACTTCATAACTGTAATTTTGCTACTGTTATGTCTTAGGCGACCCCTGTGAAAGGGTCATTCGACCCCCAGAGGGGTCGCGACCCACAGGTTGACAACCACTGTTATAAAGGCACCATCATTGGACGTAAGGCCCACCCTATTCCAGTCTGACCTTATTGTAACGTCATCACATCAGCAAAGACCCGATTTCCAAATAAGGTCCCATTCCCAGGAGCCGGGGTCTAGGGCTGCAGCACAGGTTCTGCGACAATTCCATGCCTCATGCTCAGTCTCTGTCCGCTCGCTGGAGGGACCACAGGCTCCCACCTTTGTGCTCAGAGAAAGTGCTAGAACTTCAGCTACTTTTAATGTAAAGACTGGTCTGAAATCAGGGCAACCTAAAGTGACTTTTTCTTAAAGGCAATGAGAAATAAAGCCAGAGACCAATAAATACTTCATACCCCTCTTACTGACGACGAGTGAGCAGAAATCCTGTGCCGAGGAAAGTATCCTTGTCGGTTGAGTAGAAGCTTAGATTGTCTTAGAAAACGGAGATCGCTTTCCAGAGCATGTCTTGGGAAACAGAAAGTACCCCAAAACAAGTCTCTTAAAGGCTATCCTAGTGTAGACGTGATCTGGGGAGGAAAACCCTGCGTCCAGATGTCCTGCTGGTCATGGCAGAGTCCCGGTGAGCACGGCGGCTGCGGTCGCTCTGGCCCGAACTCGGAGCTGGAGCTGAAACACCGTGGACGAGGGGAGGGCACTCAGGCCCTGACAGTTCCCTCCGAGGGTTAAAGCAGTAAACCGTGTGCATGTTATTTTGTGCTGCTTGGTTGCAGTTATTGTTTTTCATTGTGGTAAAATACACATAGCACCGAGTGTATCATTCCACCACTTACAGCTATACAATTCAGTTGTCTCGAGTACCTTCACACTGTTCTGCAGCCAACCTCCAGAACCCTTCATCTTGTGGGGTTTTTTCCATGAGGTGTGATGTGAGGTGCATTTCGATTGAACTGATTAAAGCGACAGGGTGTACATCCTGCCACTTGCATGTATGGCAGGTGCCGGCAGCAGCCTCCCCCGTCCCTGCAGAGAGCACCGCCACATCCTGTGGGCAACGGTGACATGCGGCAGCGCCTCGGCAGGGCACACACTGCCTCGCACGGGGACGGGGTGACCGAGAGTTTGGGAAGTCGAGGAGGCACAGCGGGGTCCTGGTTACCTGTCCCTGCTTGCTTCCAGGTGAACATGACCACAGATTTGGAAGGGAGTGACATGTTGGTGGAAAAGGCAGACCGGCGGGAGTTCATCGACCTGTTAAAGAAGATGCTGACCATCGATGCTGATAAGAGAATCACTCCGATCGAAACTCTGAACCACCCATTTGTCACCATGACACACTTACTCGACTTTCCTCATAGCACACAGTAGGTGTCCTGCTCCGTGCTTTCCACCCAGGTTCAGCGACGTTTTCTTTAAAGCCCCAGGGAGGGCCCTGGCTGCTTTGGCTCAGTGGTTAGAGCATCGGCCTGCGGACCACAGAGTCCCAGGTTCGGTTCTTGCTAAGGGCAGTACCTGGGTTCCAGTTTGTCCCTGGCCCCAATTGGGGTCGTGTGGGTGGCAGCCACTTGATGTGTCTCTCTCACATCAATGTTTCTCTCTCTTTTGTCCTCCCTCTTTCCCTCCTGCTCTATCTGAAGATAAATGCAGGAACGTCCTCGGGTGAGGATAGGTAAATAAAGCCCCAGAGAGGGAACGTTCTGGGCTCCGCGGCCATACGGCCTCTGCCACAGTCACCAGCTCCTCCACTGTATCCGAAAGCAGCCGCAGACCAGACGTAAGGCGATGAGCTCGGCTGCGTCCCAGGGACATTATTTACACACACAAGTGGCACCCCGATCGGGAGCCTGGGCCGCAGTCACCAGGAAGGAGGGCTCGGTGGAGCACAGGAAAGCTCTGGGTGGACGCACTCGGGGTCTGTGTAGGAAGGAAAATGCTCGGAACGGCAGGGTCCGTAAGCAAAGCCAAAGGTCACGCCCAGAACCCTTCCGGAGAGGACTCTGTCCGGATTTGGGCTCATTCATGCAGCATGCTGTGTGCTGTGCCAGGTGCTGGGGTACGTGGGGGGCAGAGCAGATGGGCCCATGCGCGCTGGAGCTTACAGCCTAGAGGAGAGAAAGGTACGAAACTAGTGATGCCCAAATAACCAGGCCGTTACCAGGGCAAGTGTAGGGTGTGGCGAGAGCATGTGACGAGGGAGCCTCACCTGGGACAGGGCGGGAGGTGACTGCGAAGGGTGAGTGAGGGAACTGACGGAAGGCCGGCGAGAGCCCAGAGGACAAGGCCTGCGCGGGGCACGCGGACAGACCGAGCGCGAGCGGGGGACGGGCCGGGACGGGACGGGGCGGGCCGGGACGGGGCAGGCCTCCGCGTGCAGGGCCTGGTCTTGATTCCGAGAGCGGTGGGGAGTCCGCTGAAGGGCTTGTGAGCAGGACCGCGCGGGTTAGTGTTTAACAAAGGTCTCTCCGCTGCCGCCCCGTCGAGTCAAGAAGCCAGGGAGAGATGGCCATCCATTTGGCCACCTAGAAGCTATTGGTGACGCAGAGCTGTTTCCGTGGGTGACAGAGGCAGAAACCAGCTTAGCAGGTTGAAACCTGAGTGAGAGGTGAAGAAACAGGCGGGACCCTTGCGAGAAGGGAGGCTTTGAGAGAAGCGGGCAGAACTGGAGGGGTGGCTGGGGAGGGCCCGAGGGCGGTTTCTTTTTAATACGGAAGAGATTAGAGAATTGAAAATACTGATGGGAAGTGTCTGGTAGCAAGTGAGAAAGATTAAAGATACTCAGAAGAGAAGTTCCTGAGATGGGGGAGGGGCTGGGAGTCAGCACAGGTGGAGGGCTAGGCCAGTGTCCCGTGCACGACGGAGGGGCGCAGGCGTAGGCGGGTGTGCTGGGTTCGCAGCGGACAGTCGAGGGCTCTGCAGACAGCTGTCTCCTCTGGCTGAGAGCAAGGTGTTTAGGTAACTGACAAGGTGGCAGAGAAAACTGAACAGAAATACAGTGGAATTGGGATTGTTGAGCTGGAGGTTGGACATGAAGAGTCGGGTGTGGCTGAACTCCCCAGGTGCAGGCAAGGAGAAAAAGAGAGATTGACAGGCTCAGGACGTTGGCAGTAAAGCGTTGTCATCCAAATTGATGGCTACTGGGGGCTTAGCTGAAAAGGAAAGGAAGTAAAGGTGGGGAGGGCCCAGAGACACTGGTCTAATCAATTCCGAGGTTGCTTATTTCAGTAATTGTCAAACGAGCCAGATGGGTGACAGCGTGGCGGGGGATGGGGTGCTTGAATTTGTGGTTGGGGGAGTGGAGCAGTTTCAGGTCTGACACACAGAGAATCCGTGGCTGGCGTTGCCAGCAGGTCCTGGGGATGAGGAGTGACTGAGAAGCCAGGGGTCTGGCAGGTGATCAGTGTGACCTCTGCCGTCTCCCGGGGTGGCAGGGCGCGAGTCAGAGTGGAAAACGGAGCCAGTGGCGCAGCCCCGTGAAGGACAGGAGGGAACGGGCCACAGTGGGAGAAAGTGGGAGAGCATGTTGGTTTGCAGAGGCTGAAGCAAGTACCCCTGAGGGGCCGAGGGGCTTAAACAGCAGAAATGCGTTTTCTTACAGTTCCAGAAGTCCAAGGTCAAGGTGTTTGGTAGAGCTGGTCTCTCCTAAGGCCTCTCTCCTTGGCTTGTAGATGGCCATCTCCTTGTCCTCACGTGGTCGTCTACACATACCTGTCCAGATTCCCTCCTCAATAAGAATTGGATGAGAGTCCACCCTCATGACCCCATTTTACTTATTTAAAGATCTCATCTCCAAATTTAGTCACATTCTGAAGTATGGGGGTTGGAACCTTAACATGAATGCAGGGGGTGGGCGCGGTTCAACGAGGGCTCTCACTTCAGCCTCTCAACCCCGAGGTGCTGGGGATGAGAGGCTCGTCCCGGGACACCTGCAGAGAGACGCAGGGTGCTCATGGGCACCCAGAGTAGCTGGGATCAGGAGGAGAAGGAGACTATGTGAGAAGAGGCTGGAGGAGAGAGACATTTGCAGGTCATGGCCAACCCTGCCATGACCAGACCAACTGGGCTCAGTTTCAGGGCTGGGCTTGATCTTAACCAGCCTCTAAGAAATGAGCGGGTGACACCCACCAAAGTTGGCGCTTCCTCTCATTTATCAATTGTTAAGCAAGTCCAATCACACGGCGACAGTGAGTCTTTCATTTAGAACCATGTTCGAAATAAGCAAACTCCAATACAAGGAAGGAACTTGGACCCATCTCTTGCAAACTCTCGTTATGGGATTTTTCCTGTTTCTGGGTGTAGTGGGGGTGCTTCCATGGGGTGTCAGTTGGTACCACAGAAGGGAGGAGGACGTGGTGATTTACTGGATAGGACCCCCAAAAGATCAGTCTTTTTATATTCCAGGGTGAAGTGGGATGGTTGAGAAAGAGCTATGGACAGGAGAGGGAGGGGTGCGCTCCAGAGGGTTCCCACTAGCCATCTGCACTAAGGCAGTGAGACAGTCACCCACATGAAGTCAAGGTCATGGCTGAGCGACCTTGGAGTCTCGTCCATCTCGGGGTTCTGAGGGGAAGCAGTAGCAGAATGCTTCACTGTACTTGGTGAAAACTGAGCAGGGAAATCAGGAGCATCAGCTTCAAATTCAGAACGTGGTGTGGGTCCCAAGAGGACCACTGACAATTCAGAACTCAGAAAATGGGCCTCAGAAGGACAAATGGGCCTTTGAGCACACCGAGGCTTACCTGAGAGTAGGCCTAATCCCTACAAATCTCTAGAACTTTCTGAGAAGGCCAGGAGAACTCGGGGGTGCGAAGAAACCTCCAGGCCCACCTGTTGTAGACCCCCACCCTTGGGACTAGGCCAGAGCTGCGCCAGCATCTGGGCTGAGAGGTGAAAGGGGCCCACCCATTCCTCCACGCCAGGATTCTAGAGCACGGATTCCCTAAAACCCACCCCCACAGAACTAACCCAAAGTGCACGTGCCAGACCATTTCATTTAGAAAACCTTGAGTCTAAGAGCTTTTGGTTGAATTGTCACAAAATCATTGGATGCTTTCAGTGCATTCCGAAGGGAACCTAAAATCGATCTTTTATTCCTCCAGCCCCCACGGGAAAGCACTTAGCAGTGTGCTTGGTACTTCGTAGATTCTCAAAACATGTTGGCCTCACCAGCACTGGTATTTGTGTTTTTTAGCTGTTGGTTACTGTAGGAAACATTTCCCTTTCTCTCCAGGGTCCACAGTCAGTAAACACTGGTTTCGTGTGCATTGTGGGCTAATGTACGCAGTCCTTAACTCCGAAAGAAAGAGGCGTCTCTGCGCATGTCAGAGTCCATTTGGAGCATCTTTTATGGAAAGGATGTTTGGGGATGGCAAAATGTAGCTTACTTACAGTATGCAGAAACAGTATACATTTGTAATCTTAAAATAGTAGCCAATTATTTTATTTATATTCAGTTATTACATTGTAATTAAAATAAGTATTGAAAATTGAACTGTATTGCTGGTTTATTTTGAATATTAGCATTTGAGGAAAAGTTATGTTTAGTTAGAAGGAGACACAGAAGTGTATGCGAAGCCATGTATAAATCCTGAAGAGCACCTTGTGGTGACTTTTTCAGAACTTGGTCAGGGGCACTTAGGACTTTCCTTTGCCTTGATGTTGGTGTCAGCTACACTTTTATATTTACTTTCATAATTAGGGTTTTGTTTTGATTCACAAAGGGAATGAAGGAAGAAGAAGAGGGAGAGAGTCTTCATTTTAGATTTTATTAAAATAAAAAGGAAGGATGAAAGAGGTTAAAGAGGATGTATATGTATATGTATATGTATATGTATATGTATATGTATATGTATATGTATATATGAAGATTGCCAGTAATTAGCTCTTGGCTTTGGCAGATTACCTGTCTTCTCTAAACTTCATCTTTACTCCTACTACAGGGGCATCACTCATCTCTCCCTCTTGGGATTGTTGTAAGACTGAGTGCAAGAATCTTGCACACAACTACCACAGCTCTCAATCACTGTTAGACCCTATTATTAATTATTAATATTATTACAGTTCTCCTTTCATGCACAATTCCTATGGGGAGAAAGTGGCCAATAGGGTCATGATACTAGGTTGGCTAGTTCCTTGGCTGTCCCCTAGATGGCGCCAGTGACCCAGAGTCGCCTGGGAAGGATTTGCACAAGGTGTTGTCTTTGGGGAAGTTGGTGGCAGGTGGTGAGCTGCTGTTTAATGTTCCCAGAGAACGTATACATTTGTTAGGGGCCGAAAGCCATACTGACAGCTAGAATGAGCCGTGAAGCTGGAGACAGATCAGCACGATGAGGAAAATGCAGTGAGAGCCAGCAAGTGTTGGGTGCTGAGACCCTTGACCTGTCCAGGGTAGGGAGAAAGGCAGTAAGGCAGTGGGTGAAACGTCTCAAAATAACATCGACTGTTGCAAATGTAGACTGTACATGAGAAATCCAGGAAATTGAGACCTAAAGTTTTCCCTGTTGTCTTATTTACTAAATTAACTATTCTCTCCTTTTTTCTCGCCTTTTTCTCCCTGTTATTCCATCCCACGTGACCCTCTTCTCGTTCCCTTATGCCTGTCTCTGCCTTTCCCATGAACAGCGTCAAATCATGTTTCCAGAACATGGAGATTTGCAAGCGTCGGGTGAATATGTACGACACCGTGAACCAGAGCAAAACTCCTTTCATCACACACGTGGCCCCCAGCACGTCCACCAACCTGACCATGACCTTCAACAACCAGCTCAACACTGTCCACAACCAGGTGAGGGGGGAGCAGAGAAGGCCGGCGGGGCTGACAGCGAGCATCGGGAACTGCATTTCCCCGGGAAACCCCATCAGAAGACAACATTCCCCCACTGTCATAGTCTACTCTGTAGGGAGGCGTTTGCGTCAAGGTCACTTCCTCCGAGAGCCCCAAGCAGTCTATCGACCGGTGGCCCCATTGAACAAGTCATGGGCCGCTCACTAAAGGGGTTGTTTCTGAGGTGGTACCTCTTCCGACTTCTTTCTGTCCTGATGTGGGAAGGAGGTAAGAGATGCTGTGATCCTAGTGTGTCCAGCTTCGGCCTGGTGAGAATTCTGGAACTGGGACACTAGTGATCATCTGGTTCAGCCCTCTCCCTTGTCCTCAGACTGCTGGGTCTACGTGTTCTCCTCTCTCTTCCTCTCCCTTGCTCTCTAAAAATCACTAAAGAAAAAAATATATATTTTTAAAAAGAAAGGGACCAGGAAACTAAGGTTTTCCTCCCACAGATTTCTAACCTTTTGCAGAAAATTAGCAGAATCTAGCATCTAACATGCTGCAGAAAATATCGATGACACCCAGCAAATATTTATTCACTGAATAAGCTCCAGGCCCTGCCTCAGGCCATCTCTGGTGTCTGAGAGACTTTTACTTCCTTCTTCCAGTCTTAACCAGTTCCCTCAAAGATGTCTCCCTAGATTTTTCCAGTCTTAATATCAGTCTGCAGTGACAGCACTCCTGTGTGTACACACACGCGCGTGCGTGCGAGGCTCCATAAGAGAGGAGTGTATGTGCTCTAATCCTGAGGTCTGAATGAAGACCTCCACCTGGCCATCCACTCTTTATACAAGCCCCCTACTGTCACTGAAGAGCCACTGACCCTGTCTTCATGGGCCATTCCTGGAGCACACTGGGTTGCCGAGTCCTAGCTTACTTCCCAGCCTACCCTCTGTCCCCTGCCTAAACTCTGGGAAAGGCCACCCAGCATCCGCTGCCCCCTGGGGGGCATTGGTGTTCTGAAAGCTCCCCTGAGGGGAAGACCTGATGCGCTCTAAGGCCTAGCATGCAAGGAAGCAGACACCCCCGCAGCCCCTTGCCCAGCCCTCGGGCTGAGGCCTCCCAGCCAGACAGGGAGGGTCCCTGACAGTCTCGCCATGGTTTAGTTCTCCATCACCAGAACCCACCACAGTGAGCAGACTGATCTGGCCGCTGCCAGGAGCAGGCAGAGCAGTGGGAGATCAATTGAGAAGGGAAGGTTGGCCCTGGCCGGTTTGGCTCAGTGGTAGAGTGTCGGCCCGCGGACCAATGAGTCACGGGTTCGATTCCGGCCAGAGTCACGTACCTTGGTTACAGTTCATCCCGGCCCTGGTTGAGGTCATGCGGGAGGCAACCAGTCGATGTGTCCCTCTCACATCAACGTTTCTCTCCTTCTCTCTCTCCCTCCCGCTCTGTCTCAAGATAAACAGAAAAATATCCTCGGGTAAGGATTAAAAATAAATAAATAGGGAAGGTTGGCCAGCTGTGGGAAACACAGTGCCAGACCAGAGTACAGAGGATGCCCATGAAGCAGTAATGGGAGACTTTTGAGCAGGGTGGTGACATGCACGAAGTAGTTGTTTGGAAAGAACGTCTGCCCTCTGTGCCCAGTGAGAACCAAAGAGGAAAAGTGGAGGCCAGAGCGTCTCCAGCCAGAGCCCCCAGGTCCCAGAGGAGAGGGCCTCCCCTGGGGAGACAGCGATTGACAGGAGTCAGTGGGTTCCAGGGACAGTTCAGAGGAAGCAGCAGCAGGCCCGGTGGCTGCCCGGAGGGTGGGACAGTCGAGGATTCTGGTGCCCCCAAGAGGGAAGCCCAAGGCTCCAGGACCTGCAGAGAGTCTGCACTTGGGCGTGTGGAGTCTGAGCAGATCGTGGGAAACGTGTAAATGGGGAGGCCTGCGGGAGAGATGGGCATGCGCGGAGAACCCAGAGGAAGTGCAAGGCTGTCATCAGTGACATCACAGACAGTGGCCCACACGTGCTGCACACACGTCCCCCTCACTGCTGGAAGCCAACCATGTGACGCTGCGTGACACCGTGTTACAACATGCGTCTCACAGTGCAGACAGGGCCACATCATGGAGCAGTTCCCCTCAAACAGTTTGCTTTGCACTGCAATGCAGCATAAAATCTAAGTATAAAAAACCATGTAAAATGAAACTTCATCCTTGTTATCAAAGTCGACACAAATACACACCCTTCTTGTAATTCTGATTTTGTACGTGTGCACGATGTCCTCGTGGATCGTTTCTCCTTATTCGTGAGTCCTTGTAACCTCTGGCGGCCAAGCCTCTGGGAAGCCGCCGGTAACCTCCACCTGCCATGCTGAAGAAAGCTAAGAGGGGGTGAAACTGCACGGTCCCCACTTTAGGAGTGATTTCCCCTCTGCCACCTTGCTTCACGTGGGAGCTCATTCTCAAGCGATGTTGCTTTCCGAGAGAAAGGCGGGGACATCTTTCCGTGTCTGTCTAACCATCTCCATTGCCGCTCCCTTGGCCCGCCAGCACCTTTGCTGTCTGCCGCCCAGCCTCAGGGGAAGGCCGGGGAAGGGTTCACACGCTCGAAGAAGAGACCCCAGGCTCCACGTGTCCCTCTCCCTGTTTCCGTAGCACGTTTCTCCGCAGAAACTGCTGCGCAGCCGCTGAGGGTATCTGCCCTTAGGCCCGAACAGGAGGCCCCCTTCTAGCCTCCATGCGTGCATCTGGGTACCCGGGGCTCTGGGCCTGCAGCGCCTCTTCCTCGATCCAGCCTCCCAAATATGGACCGCACCCTCAGGTCCATATGTGTGCGCCCCAAACCCCTCAAGTGTGGGACGGGGCTGGGGCAGGGAGAGAAGGGAGGCAGGGGTTCAGCTTGCCCCCCTCACCGTTCTCCAGGGCAGAACCCAAGGAATCCAAGAATCCTGACCTCAAACCTGCCTTCCACGTTGTTACGAAGGTGTGCTTGTCAGAGTGGAGGCGCAGAGCAAAAGTTGTTCCTGGCCTAATTTTTAACGTTGCAGTATTTAGACCTATGGTCCGGCATCCAACTGCGCTCCTGTCTGGGCCCCACACGTCAGGGACAGGCCTGAACACAAGCGCCAAGGGTGACTGTCATGTGGCCGCAGGCGCCTGCTGCTCCTTGAGACTTGACCGTATTTCCACTCCCCTCTGTTTTTGCTTCTTTGCCCATGGTTTTTTTGTTTGTTTGTTCTTCTGTGAGTTCATTTATTTGAATTAGATTCGTGTCTCCCAACCTGCCACCGCCCTCATTTTTTATTTTTATGTTTGTTTAATCCCCATCATTCCTTTAGGCTCCCACCTCCACCAGTGCCACTATTTCCTTAGCCAATCCCGAAGTCTCCATACTAAACTACCAATCTGCACTCTGCCAGCCCTCAGCGGCGTCCATGGCTGCGGTGGCCCAGCGGAGCATGCCCCTGCAGACCGGAGCAGCCCAGATTTGTGCCCGGCCCGACCCCTTCCAGCAAGCTCTCATCGTGTGTCCGCCCGGCTTCCAAGGTAAGGATGAGCAGAGAACCCGGGGCTCCGACCGCCCTGGCGGACAGTGCTGGCATCCCTGAACCTGGGGCCCCTGTCCTGCTGTGGCCAGCCTCGGGACAGTGCGCTTTGTCATGCTCTCCGTGGGCAGCAGTTTTGGCCCTGGTTGCGGAGTGTAAGGAAGCACATTGGGCTCCTCGGTGAAATGCCCTCTGTGTGGCTTATCTATAGAAAAGTGCCCATCCCTACGGCCAGCAGAGCCCGTTCTCACGAGGAACATAAATCTGTAGGCAAAGTTCCTCCCGGGCCACCCCCAGCGGTTCTTCAGCCATGCACCCCAACATTCTCCTCTGGAAGCCTCCAGGAAGCTAGAGTTGACCACGTACTTGGTTACAGTTTGCACAGAAAGCTCGAGAATTTGTTTTTGCAAGCCCCTGGGTAAGCACGCGTGTGGTTGCCCAGTTTTAGTCAGTGCCAGTCCCAGTGGACTTTTTTTTTTTTTTTTAATCCTCAGCCGAGGATATTTTTCTGTTTATCTTCAGATAGAGTGGGAGGGGGAGAAGGGGAGTGAAAGGGAGAGACAGAGAAACATCAACGTGAGAGGGACACATCGAATGGTTGCTTCCCACACAACCCCAACCAGGGCCAGGGACAAACTGCAACCAAGGTACGTGCCCTTGGTCAGAATCGAACCCGTGACTTGTTGGTCCTCAGGCCGACGCTCTAGCACTGAGCCAAACCGGCCAGGGCCCAGTGGACTTCTATGTTCTCCCCATACCCTGGCTGTCACCTAGTGACATACATGGACGTGTCTTCCTTTTGTTTTGGTTTTTTTTGGTATGTGCCCTTAGCGGGAACTGAACCCAGGACTCCCAGGCCCATGCTCCAACTGCTGAGCCAAACCGGCCAGGGCAGAAGCACGTGTCTTCCTATCGTGATCTGTCAGCTAACTGTTCCACTTGGTTTTACGGGCTCAATTTCACCTTCTAATCTTTGAACACATTCAAGGTTGCAGGGGGCGGGGGTTGCTTTTTGTTTTCTAAGTTAGAAACTAACTGGCCTTCCAAAGGGCCAGGCAACACCTGGAGGGGACCGGTGCGGAGTGGGGGGCTGTCTCCATCCAGCTCGTTCCATCACTCAGCCCCTGTCCCTTGCCTTGTTGTCTGGAGCAGGGTTGCAGGCCTCGCCCTCGAAGCATGCTGGCTACTCCGTGCGAATGGAAAATGCTGTTCCCATCGTCACTCAAGCCCCAGGAGCTCAACCTCTTCAGATCCAACCAGGTCTGCTTGCCCAGGTAATTCTTTGTTATTCCTGGTATCGCCATTATCCACCTTAATGTTTTTCACAAAAGAGATGTATCTCCGCTAATTCCCTCCCTGGCGGTGAGTGAGGTGCTTCGAGTCATTAGAATACCTCGGTAATATTCTGGATGGTGCCCAAGTGAATTACCTTCCTAAGTGCCTAGCTTACAATTCCAAGAAGAAATTCAGACACAGGGAGAATCTGGAGAGACTATTATCACTGTATCTTTGTAATGTAAATTAATATAGGAGACCTAGGTTTCGATCCTAACTCAACTAATAACTCTCTGTGACCTAAGGCAAGTCAGTTAACATTTCTTTGCCCTACATTTCTTTCTTGTAAAATAGAAATGATTTTTTAGAACCAAAAAAAGAAAAAGAAAAAAAAGCCTGGGAGTTGATTCTTTTCTAGTAGAAGAAACAGGGGTAGCGGAGCTGCGAGCTGCAACCTCCCGGTCTGTTCACGTAGGCACTCTGGTAGTAGAATGACACTGTGGAGGTGAAAGTGGTAAAAATAAAAATAAAATTAGGAAGTGTTGTGGAAATTTAAGGTAACACAGTGATACAACAATAATAGTAATGACACAAACTTTTTTTTTAAATGTTTTTATTGATATTTTTAGGGAGAGATAGAAACATTGATGTGAGAGAGAAACAGTGATCGGCTGCCTCCTGCACGCCCCCTACTGGGGATCGAGCCCACAACCCGGGCATGTGCCCTGACCACTGAGCCACACTGGCTGGGCATGACGTGGACTTTAATAACAGATACATCACCATTACGCCAGGTACTTTGCAGTCATGTTTGATTTAATCCCCACAACACAGGAAGGTGTTTGTCACCTTTTGACAGAAAGGGAAGATGAGGCACAATCACTGGCACAAAGTCACACAGCGATTAGGTGACAGAAGCAGGACACAAACCCAAGAAGTGTGACACCAGCATCGATCTGTGTTTTAACCCCTTGCTGTGCTGCTTCCGTATAACCACTTCTGTAGGTGGTAAGGACAGCTTGACCTCTCTGTTGTCAGTTTAGAAGCACCTTTATTTTTAAGTAAGGTGGGTTCCCAAAGGCTTTTCTCAAAGTGTGTCCAAAGGCACTGTATTTATGCTGTCTTCTGTTGAATATAAGTTTGGGTTTTTCATTTTAATGTGGTCAAATTGCATAGTTCTGTTTTGGGCTCTCTATTCCATTGGCCTCTCGAATATCCTATTGTCTTAACTATTATAATTTTAATATGTCTTGGTGTCTGGTAGGGATAGCATTCTCCAAAATGTCCTGTTTTTCTTGTCCCTTCACTTTTCCATGTGAATTTAAACATTATTCTTACATAGGAATTTCAGTTCCAAAAAAATATTGCTGGCTTATATTTATTGAATTTGCCTAAAATTTATATTTATGTTAGGGATAGCTGACATCGTAATAATAAGTCATTTCATCCCTGAACATGGTTCCACTGTACATGTTACCTTTTATTCCTTTAAGTTTTCTTTTGTTGGACTACTCCGTAAATAATTTAGTTTTTGTGGTTATTAATATTTTTGTTAACTATATCTTTTAATTATTTGTCCTTGGTTTATAGGAATGTACTGATTGGGGTCTATTGAGCTTATCTAGTAGTTCTTCTAAACTCCTTAGTTCTGGCTGTTTCTGTGAATCCCTTTGGATTTTCTACATGGCCTTTTATTTGCATATAATACAGTTTTGTTTCTTCTTTTCCAATCCTTATACCTTTTATTTTTTCTTCTTCTATCACTGTGCTGACAGACCCTCCAAAACAGCATTTAATAACAGTGTTGACATTGGGCACCCTTAACTTGTACCTAACTTTAAAAGAAATTCTTCTAGCTGTTGTCATTTGGTGTTTTGTTTAGGATAAATATTTGATAAAGACACTATCAAGTTTGCTAATTTTTAATGAATTGATATTAAATTGTATCAAATGTTCTTCCTGCATCTATTGAAATACTCACGTTTTTGTTCCTTAATCTGTTAATGTAGCAAGTTACTTAATAGATTTGCAATATTAAAACCTCCTTGTGTTTCCAAGATAAACTTTATTTGATCATGTTGTGTTTGATATGTTTGTATGCTTGTCAATATTGGATTGTTTGTAAATACTATAGTTAATAATTTTGCATCTGTGTTCATAAGTAAGAAATGGCATGTAATTTCTCTCTCTTCAGACTCCTTATCTGATTTGGGCATCAGGTTTATATCAGTCTCATAAAATATGTTGAATATTATCACTTCTTCTATTTTCTGGAACAGCTTTGTTAAGATTGACATTAACCATTCTTCGTCTCCTTGTTCTTCCAAATTCACACCACAAGTGACCACTTACACCAGCTTCCTGTGGTACACACAATTTTGTCTTTCTGGATGATTGTAAAGAGAACCTCCTGTATTTAAGGCAGGCCTTCTACTCTTGCCTCTCACCCTAGTCCTCATAGCTTCCTCTTTGCACAGTTTGGTCGAAGGGTGTTCAGAAAAGGCCAAGGTAGGTCAAGAGAAAGAACTACAGCTTGTTGCAGGGCAAAGTAGTTTGTTCATACTTTATTCGGGTGGCAGAAATTCAGTCAGTCTCCCAGTCCTCCTCTGTGAGCCAGAATCTTAGATTCACCTGCACTTTGAAGGGTACTTTTTTGCATTTGTACATTTAACCCTAGTAAGCCCAGAACTATCTCTGAAAGAAATGATAATTAACATCTCTTATTAGCCAAAATAGGCATTCTTCATTGTTCAGTTTGGTGAAAACCAATAGTCTCAGCATTTCTGAATTTGTACCAGTCCTTTAATCATCGCAGAGAAGAGCTTCACCTTTTGCTCACTTGGAAAAGAGTCCCTAGAGTACTGTAAATCTCCAAGTTTATTTAAGCTAAAGCTATAATTGGGAAAGTAAACAAGCAAACTAACACACACACACACACACATTTTTTAATTGCTTCAGTGTTTATAACTTCCTGGAAGCAAGTTGAATGTTCATCAGTGGGAGATTTGTTAAATAAATTATTGTGTGCGTAAAATGGAACACCATGCAACAGTTAAAAATGACATGGTAGCCCTAGCTGGTTTGGGTCAGCAGTAGAGCATCAGCCCACAGACCAAAGAGTCACAGGTTTGATTCCGGTCAAGGGCACGTACCCCAGTTGCAGTTCAGTCCCCGGCCCTGGTCGGGGTTGTGCAGAAGACAACCAGTCAATGTGTTCCTCTCACATTGATGTTTCTCTCTCTCCCTCCCCCCCCCCTCACTCTGAGGAAAAATAAAATAAAAAAATTTTTTTCTTAAATAACATGGTAGACCAGTGTGTCTTCACATGCAAAGATTTCTAAGATCTACTAAGTAAAACATTCCTACCCTATCATGTTGGGTCTTTTGTTAGTTGCTTTTTCTTTTTCTCTCTGCTTATCACTAATCCATGTCAATATGTTAATTGTTACAATTGAGCTCTCCCCTAGATATTTGCAAATGGTCCCTTCAAAGGACAAAAATAAACTAACATAAAAATGAGTATGATAAAAAGCGATAATTAAACATTTAAACTGGTGCCTTCATTTTTCTCTGGGTAAATTTCTAGGTTTCAGGCAGAAGCACTCCAAATACTATTAGTTACTTTAAATATATCCAGAAAACTGGCATACAAATTGATGGTGATTAACAAACATGGTGATTGCAAACATCCTTCGCTCTACAGCAGGCCTGGCCAAGTGGGACCCAGCAGATCCTGCTCCCCCCGGCGTGGCAGCAGCTGACCGGAGTGGCCACCCACACGTCAGTGCAGCATGCAACGGTGATTCCCGAGACCATGGCGGGCACCCAGCAGCTGGCCGACTGGAGGTAAGAGGAGAGCTGGCCTGTGCCCGAATTGCTGGTTTACAGAAAACTTTTTAAATTCAAAAGAATATTATGTGAGATATGACTACAGTGTAAGGAGATGTAATTTTTAAATAAGTGTACCAGGAAACAAGAAAATCGGCTTCATTACTTTATGGTCAGTTGTCACTTTTGACCCCAAATTCAGTGACATCATTTAATCACCAGTGTAATTCACCAGACTTGGCTCCAGATGATTTTTTATTGTTTCTCAAAATTCAGTTCCACTCCCAAAAAACAAAGATTTGTCACCAGGGAAAAGGTGCAGTCCCCAAGGCTCCTCAGCAATTCTAGAAAGTGTTGTCAAGGTATTTTGAGACATGGACACATTGGAGTCTTCCCAGCTCTCCCCGGGAAGGCTTGGCAGAACAGGATGTATTTCAGATGGTAGGTGCCGCTGAGCGTGGCTCTTCAGTTGTGGTGAAAGATCAAAGTCCACTTCCCACAGATCCCTGAAGCACGCAGCTCCCAGCCACGAGCACGCGTACCCCCTGCATCTGTTTCCGTAAACTACCCCATCCCACTCGCTGACTTCCTCACCCACACGTTGCTCTGTTCTTTTTATGGCCACTATCCACTTCTTGTAGCTCTCAACCCTCCCATCCCAGCACCGCCACAGTGCCATTTTCACCAGTGCAGAGCCAAATGGCCACCCCCTCCCCAGTTGTCCCCAGCATCCCAGTCCCCATGAGGGAGAGTCTGGGCTGTTTCTCCTTCAGCCCAAACATGAGGACAGGTCATGCCCCTCACCCTCTGACAGGCTCCATACCAGCCATGCGGCCTCCCCCACGGTTCCTTTTCTGACCTAAAAGACTATTAAGTGAATGAAGGGCTCTTGGTGAAACGGAGAGAAGTAGAGATAGAAGCCCCCATTCAAGCCTCAACTGCAGCTTCCTCTGTTCCTCCATTTAATTTTCTGACCAGTGAAAAGAGTACACAGGCTCTTTCCCGTAGCCCCACTCACTGACTACACTGCCCACCCCACCCCTAGAGCACCCCCACTCATTGGAAGCACTTTCAAACCAGGTAAAACTGGGTTCGATTCTGGCTCTGCCTAACTTGGGCAACTTAACCTCTATAAGCCTCAGTTTCTTCTTCAGTGGAGTGAGGATAACAGTCCTCATAGGATTGTTGAAAGGCTAAAATTAAGATAAAATACAAAGCACTTTGACCTGTATTTTAACAGGTGCCATAGCAGCACCTGGTACATGAGAGGCAGTAAACAAATCTCTCACCCTTCCCCCACTGGCATCGGTGCATGCTCAGCAACACCACCTTCCCTCTCCAGCTCGTTAGGAACCACAACCAGATGGAAAGCTGTTTGACCAGTTGTTTTCCTCACCCCCTTTTCTCCTTAAAGACCACACATAGGTTGTACTCCCTTTTGTTCCTTTTTTCTATCAGCATTTATAGCTCGTTTCACTTCAACAATATTCACATACTCATTCATGCCTATTATTCCTCATCCCTCTTACGTGGTCACTGCAGAAAACACTTAAAGCCTACACGCTTTCTTTCTCCATTTCACGCATAGACCAAAGAACATCCATAATCACGGCTAATGAACAAAAGACAAGTACCAGTGCTTGACCTGTATCAGAGGAAAAAGAGCCACGTCTGTAGAACAGCGACAACAAAATAAAGCAGCTCTAGCAGCAGCTTCTCAAATCCACGTAAATGTCCAGAAGACACTATCACATCTCTACAAGTGTCCCCTCCTGTTTTTTTCCTACTCCTTTCCCCCAAGTTGCAAAGATACATTTTACAACATTTTCAAAATTCAAATGAATTCTCCTATAGCTTTTAATTTGTTTGTGCATGAAGTGGGCTTTTATGGGCAGGTCTCTGAATTAATCACCACTTTTAATATTTCTATGGGAAAACAAGCCTTTAAGCTCCATGCAACCCAGATCATAAGAGCTTTTGAAACATAACCCATTTTCAGGATAATGGCTACCGGTGTTTCTATCAACGTGTCTGTTACTAATCTTGATTTCATACCAAACTCCATGCATGTCTAGGCAACCTTCAGCTAAACTAATTGTTTATTCAGCGAGCTCGTAATTAATCGATCAGCGGCCACATGCCCGAGCACCGAGCTAGCCCCGAAAGAGTTCAACAGAAGGTTAACACTCCTAACATCAACACCCTGTGGCTCCCAGTCTGCAGCGGTCGTTTGTCTCGTAAACGACAGTGTCCTCGTTTACGAAATGGCATCCCCACTGTATCCTGCCACCCCGCAGAGCGGGGCAGCCCGGTGAGGGCACTTTGTAAATCCTATCGGAGGTGGAGGGCCTGCTGTCTGCCCTCCCCGGAACCCAGGCGGAGCTGCGTCCTTGGCATTTCCCAGCTGGGTCGCCGCCTCTCCTACACCACGTGGCGCTCCTGCCGCTCACCGCACCTGGGGGGCTTCCCTGAGGCGCTCGCCCGGCTAGGCTCACCCCTCCAATACCCCCCAAGCGAGTAACAACCGGTTTGGGGGTTCAATCTGGCTCTCAACTGGGGAGGAACCTTTACCTCAAAAAATAAGCTCTGTATGCATAACCAATGGACATAGACAACAATGCTAGGGGAGTGGGGGGCGGGATGGGGAGGAGGGGGGGGGCAACATCTGTATCAAAAATAAATTAATTGATGGAAAAAAAAGCAGCAGCAGCTCTGTTTATGAAACCAACAAACAGCCTTGTCCTCCCGCCTCCCTTTCAGGAACACGCACGCTCACGGCAGCCATTACAATCCCATCATGCAGCAGCCTGCGCTCTTGACTGGTCATGTGACCCTCCCAGCCGCCCAGCCCTTAAATGTAGGCGTGGCCCACGTGATGCGGCAGCAGCCAACCAGCACCTCCTCCTCGCGGAAGAGCAAGCAGCACCAGTCCTCTGCGCGGTAGGTGGTGGGGGTCGGCCTGCAGGAAGGAGCCTGTTAGCGTTGGGCGGGGTCCGCGTGTGCTCGGTCCCTGGTGGGGCAGGGAGTGTCCCGTGGAACGCAGTGCCCGCGTACGGGGCGAGGGTTTGAGGGCGGCGCTCCGCTCTGCAGGTGTGGGCCCTGCCAGCACCCCACGTGGGGGCCTGGGGTCAGGGTCACTGCAGGGCCTCGAGTGATTCGGTCCCCTTGCACTGCTCTAGAAAACACTCGGACTCACCTCCGGAGTTGCACTGGAAACCATAATAACTTTTCTTTAAAATGTGCTGTTTTTTTGAAATCTGAGGTTAGAAATTTAAATTATTTAGCTGCTTAAGTATGAGCAATAACTTAGTTAATCCTGGACATTAACCAGCAGAACAGTGCTCTTGCCTGTTCCCTTTAAATCCAGTCTCATCTCAGTGAGCTCTTTAAAGTCAAGGTCACACAGAAGGCCCACGCCCTGTGGCATTTGGAAAAAGCAAAACTAAGGAGACAGATACCAGCTCGGAGTTCCGAGGACTGGGTAGGAGAGGAGGGGATTGACGGGGAAGGATAATGAGGGAACTTTTCAGGGGCATGAAAAGTTCTACATCTGTTCTGTGGTGGGGTTACCTGACCATACATTTGTCAAAACTCTGAATCAAACACTTCATTCAAAAGGGCAACTTTTACTGTACGTATACTTCAGTAAACCTGACTTTTAAAAAAAAATAGATTTCCAAACAAAAAAAATCTAAATCAAGACGGTGCAGCTGGCCCTGGCTGGTTTGGCTCAGTGGTTAGAGTGTCTACCTGCAGACCAAAGGTGAGGGTTCGATTCCCGTCAAGGGCACATACCTCAGTTGCAGGTTTGATCTTCCGCCCAGTTGGGGGCATGTGGGAGGCAACCAATCAATGTGTCTCTTTCACATCGAGATCTCTCTCCCCCCTCCCTCCCCCTCTCTCTCCCTCTCCCCCTTCCTCCCTTCCTCCCTCCAACTCCATCTAAAAATCAATGGAGAAAATCAGGTGAGGATTAAAAAAAAAAAGATTTTGCAGCTACAGAATTACCCTGCAGTTCTCTCTGGTGCACCAACGTGGAAGTACCCAATTGCCCAATTGCTTATTTGAGCTAGGTTAATCAAGAGAAGTCCAATATATAAAATATAAAATGCCTAGAAAGTTTGGTTTTCTACTTCCTCATATAGACAGGCTCCAGAAATTAGGCCTGCTTTTTTACATTCTCATTCAGAAATCAGTCCAAGAGTTAACTCCCTCACGTTGTCATCTTTCAAGATTTCTTTTCTGGATGTTGCTGACAGCTCAGGGAAATCCATCTCAGATCAGTGGCAGCCATCCAGCATGCGTTTGTTTGGCAGCCCTGTGACAACACTCCCGCGTCCTTATTAGATTAGGCTGCAGACACAGCCACCACCTCAATCCTCACACACTGTCATGCCCAGCCAGTGGGCAATCACACAGAATTCTGGTCTGACCCAGAGCTGACCTTAGCATCATTGTCACAAGGATACTTTGCCTTCCAACTTGACAAGTCCTTCCTTGTTGCCTGCTTACCACGTGACCAGTGTTGTGAGACTCATTGCTAGTACATTTCAAGATCAATATAATTATAGTGCATTTATTTGCCTATTTTTAAGACCAGTGCTTTGGCAAAACAGCCTGAGAGACCAGGATGCTCTCCCTCATTGGGTGGTACAGCGAGGCATACTTTTCTTTAATAATGTCAAGTAGAGGTACTTTAGCTACAGAAGTAGTGAAAACATAATCTCAAAATTATAATATATTACCAATAATAAATATTATGGTTAGTACAAGCAATGGAACCATCTTATCAGTAAAAGCATGTTATTACCAGGCCCCCAAAAGGAGCAAGCATCATATCTGACACAACTAAATAGAAAATTAAATAGATCCACCTTTACGGAATGTTCATCTTACAGCCACCACTTTAACTAGAAGGTGCTAGAATCTCTAAAGACATATCAAAGTATAAATTTTCTCTTTTTTTAATATGTTTGTATTGATTTTAGAGAGATTGATTGAAACATTGATGTGAGAGAAACATCAATCAAGTGCCTCCTGCACGCCCCTTGCTGGGGATGGAGCCTGCAACCTGGGCATGTGCCCTGATCTGGAATCGAACTGGGACCTCCCAGTCCATGGGATGACCCTCAATCCACTGAGCCACACCAGCCGGGCTCAGAGTCTTCATTTTCATTATAGGTTGGCTTTGGTCTCAAGAGTTGTTGGGGAGAGGGGAAAAGTAAGATATTTTCTCCCCTAGAGTTACCAGAAAGTATATGGGCTAATTTGATAAGGAATTTCAAGTAAATCAAAATCATGATTAAAAGGTCCCTTTTCAAGCGCACCTTTTCCTCTTGTATTTTCCCAGTTTTTTATTACAGTTGAAACAGACTGGTGAGCTTTCTATAAGGCTCAGTGTCTAAATCCAGAAGAATCTTTTCTCTAAAATAAGAATTATAGCCCCTGGCTGGGTAGCTCAGTTGGTTAGAGCGTCATCCTGATACACCAAGGTTGTGGGTTTGATCCCCTGTCAGTGCATATACAAGAATCAACCAATGAATTTATAAATAAGTGAAACAACAGATCATTGTTTTCTCTCTCTTGCTCTTGCTCTCTTTGCCCCCCTCCTCCCTCTCCCTTCCTCTATCTCTCTAAAAAGTTAGTTTTAATTTTTTTTTTTAATTATAAACAGATATTTTCATGGTTATGTCCCTTTCCCAGAGAAGGAAGGAGGGAGAGCTAACTACCAACACTAGATCCTTTAGATCCAGAAACTCCTAAGAAATTAGTGCTTTAGCTTATTAAATGGTAAACCACCTATTAGCAAGGAAACCAAAGCTTTACGTGTCAAATACCATTTCTTCTACCTCCCCCCATACAAGACCTAAGAACGTTTGGGAGGAGGACAAAACGGAGCTCAGGAAGTCAGGCCTTGACCCTGAAGACACCCCTTCAGTGCTGGGCATTACATGTGACTCCACAGGACCAGCCCAGTCCTTGGGCATAACCCCTCCTGTGCTCAGAGCCCTGAGGCCAGGCTGCTGTCCCGTCTGTGTCACGATGACCTGAAGGAAGCGCTCCAGAGGCGGCCGCTTCTGCAGTTACAGATGAAGTCTGGGTGCCCTGGCCCCTAGCTTTCCTATGGAGATTTGGCAAGGCTGGGGTTTCGGGGCAATTTGCTCCTTGGGCGATGCCGCTGGGCTGACCTTCCTCTATGAGTGTGTGTGGCTTTGTCGTTACAGAAATGTCTCCACCTGTGAGGTGTCCTCCTCTCAGGCCATCAGCTCCCCTCAGCGGTCCAAGCGAGTCAAGGAGAACACACCACCCCGCTGCGCCCTGGTGCACAGCAGCCCGGCCTGCAGCTCGTCTGTCACGTGCGGCTGGGGCGACGGGGCCTCCAGCACCACCAGGGAGAGGCAACGGCAGACCATCGTCATTCCCGACACCCCCAGCCCCACGGTCAGCGTCATCACCATCAGTAGTGACACGGATGAGGAGGAGGAACAGAAGCACGCTCCCACCAGGTGAGACCTGTCACCCTCAGGCTCCCAGAAGGGACCAGGACAGGTATGCTACGTGCTGCTGGCATACAGAAACACCATCTGTGGATCTGGGCCACGTTCCATCATTGAACACGAAGGTCCCTCTCGCCTGGCCACCAAATTGTGGTTTCTCCACATCCTAGAGTCCCAATATGATTTCAAGGGACTGTCAGACAGACTTTCCATAACTGTTTTATGCCAAAATAATTTTTAATCACTTGGGTCTTAGAAACTAGTTATAGGCCCTATACATTTGGGAGACATGAGACCATAAAAATCAAGCACACCATGCCAGTGTATTTCAACTCCTGTAAGCTTAAAAGGCTCTGCTTCAGGCTATTGAATTTATTCCCCATTGGTCAGAATATTTCTCTAATATCGCCTTGGCTCTCTCAGAATTCGAAATAATTGTCCAATTAATCAGAAATTTCCCTGTGTCTGATTAACTCAATCTTTCAAGCTGCCAGTCGGCTCCTTGCCCAGAGAGCATTACTGTTTGTTCCAAAGTAGTGAGAACTCATTTCACTCTCCGTGCGCTTCCCAGGAAGAAGGAAGAAATATTTAATGTGGTATTTACAAGGCTATTAACCCAGAGCCTCTTTTCCTGCCCTTTCCAGCCAGGCGAGCAGGGTGTGGTTTGCGCTCTGGCTGCCTGCTGAGCCCTGGAACTTGCCCCTACTGAGCAGTCGGTCCCCTGGCCATCTGCACCCCAGTGGCCTCCGGACCTTGTTGATCCAAGACCTCATGAGCCCAGCCTGCTGGCTCCTCGCATGGGGACTGAGGGCCAGGGAAGGGCAGCCGCCACCCAGCCCAGCGCTGCCTGTCAGCACGCTTCCCGCTGTTGGATGCGAAGCTGAGCATCCGAACATGGGCCTGAATTATTAACTCCGATTGGCCACAGTGCCGGTAATTAATCATCACAAATCCTTTTGATTAATCGTGAATTCCCACGCTTGAGCTCACTGTGGAGTGGAGCTGCACGCAGCCCCTCCCCATCTCCACAGTGAACTGGGCGCTGATTTTTCATGGTAGGGCCGTGTACGTCCCATCCAGGTGTCCTCTTCTTCCGTTCGATGGCTCAGCGTGGTGGTCAGTGTTCTCAGGGGACGTGATGGGGCACTTCTGGTCCCAGCAGCGCGCCTGGGGCCCATGGGGCCAGGGTCAGGGGTGCGGACACAGGGCTTCACTCCCCTCCTGCTGTTCCAGGACTGTGCCTCGTGCCCCCCGGCCCAGGGAAATATAACGGGCTCGGGCGGTCCCCAGACTGGCCCCCAGTGGGGAGCAGCCTGTCCACACATTTCTAGCATTGGGCACAAGATGGGCCCAACAGCCTCACCCAGCCCTTTGCCAGAACTGGAAAAAAGCAGAAGCAACTTAAAAATCTGAGAGTTGACGAGATTGGAATGTCATTTCTGAAGTATGAGATTTGAGTTGACACAGGCTCTGGACTCATGTGCCAGAGATGCCCTGGCTGGTGTGACTCATTTGGTTGAGTATCATCCTGTGCACCAAAAAACTGCCGGTTTGATTCCCAGTCAGGGCACATGCCTGGGTTGCAGGCTCGATCCCTAGTAGGGGGCATGCAGGAGGCGGCCAGTCAGTGTTTCTCACTCAGTGTTTCTTCCTCTTCCTTGATGTTTCTCTTCCTCTCTTTCTAAAATCAATCAAAATGTATTTAAAAAAAAAAAAAGAAAAAGAAATGTAACAGAGACGTACACAAATGGGGGAAGCTGCAGAGTGAGGCCAGAGAATCGTCATGAAGGGGCCGGCGTCCAGAGTGGTGGCAGGAGGCTCACAGAATGGAGTAACAGTGTTTTCTGGAAAGATCAAATGACTGTTACCTTGAAAAAGGGTTACAGGACCCAAGAAGACAGGAAAGTGTGTTTGAGTCTGAGTAGGATAAAACAGAAACCAGTATCTACCTGCTTTATTTATAGAGAAGTGACTGTGTAATGTGAGCACGTTATGGTGACTACATTCTGGAATAAGAGAAAATGGCGGGGGGCGGGGGGTGTGATTCTTCGTTCTCAGACGTCAGGGAATACTCGCCCCACCAGTGTGAGGCACTATGCCAGGAATGCAGGTGTCACAGAAACAACGTGGACAGTCTGCCCTCAGGAGGTTTGCAGGGTGATAAGCAAGATAAGACCCGTACAAATCATTATGACACAAAACAGACTCTCAGTTCCATAAAGACTAGCTGAGGACTGTGGGGATGCAAAGGAGAAATTACTTGAGGAGATAGCAAGGGAGGGGGGGCTTTTAAGGCCGAAAGTCTGGGATAAGAACAAGAGTGCACGGGGCAGCTGATCGCAGAGAAAGCGGGAGGCCAGGAAGAAGGATTTCAGAACAGAAAGGGGAGCTCGAGGGTCTGTCCTTGGACAGGGTGGCCAGCTTCGTCGGGAGAGTCTGAGCAGCTGCCAGGAAGGCAGCAGTCTGGTACCCCGAGTGCGGCCCAATGGCAAGCTGCCGGCCACTCTCCGCCGGAAGCTTCTCTAGCCCATCAGCATTCAGCTTGAACCGGAGACACTTGCCTCCTCGCTCTGACCACCCTTGATCTCACCCTGATTTCTCCTGTGCCCTGAGCACCTGCATTCTGATCCACCGAGTTTCCTATTTGCCACTCACCCAAGTCTAGCATGTTTGGCCCTTAACTCTGTCCGAAATGCCGACCACGCCCCATGTGTCTCCGCCTCAGCACAGCTGGAGAGCCGGGCCCACGATGCTCACAGCCATCAGATGGCCTCCGCCACCAAAGTGTCTTTTAGAGCCAAAATGGGACACGTAGTGGCAAACCCACATTTTTAGACCTAATTACAGGTGTCACTAAATCTCCAGGCCCACGTTGCCTAGAATTTTTAGAGGAATGCCAAGTCATAGTTCTTATCCCTGACCCCCAGTCTGTGGCACTCAGTCGCCAGAGAGAAATGGTCAGCAGCTCCTCCTGTAAGGAGGACCCCGGAGCATGGAGGCAGGCTGGGAGCGAGGGAGTTGTCATTCTGTGGTCATAACTGTCATTCACCAGGTGTTTCCACCTGCACCACCTAATGCATCATTTGATGGGGTGCACAAGACCTGTGGTTCTAATCCCATTTCATAGATGAGGAAGCTGAGGCCTAGGAGCGATATGTGACTTGCCCAAATCGATAAAAGTTCTAAGTAGCAGAATTCGCAGTCTTAATTACTGGCAAAAATAACTGATTTCTCCTCAGTCATTAACTCAACAAATATAAATTCTCTCCAGCCCCCTCCTCCGACCACCAGCAGGGCAGCTCACATTTGCACCCACTGTGCAGTGGCCGGGCCAGGGCTTTGGGGAGGCCGGCGTGTCGTTCACTGAGCCCCAGCTGGGCGCCAGGCACCTGGCAGGCTGAGCTTCTACCAGCGATAAGGGCAGAAGTCAGTGCTTCTGATTCTTTGAGAACATTAAAAAGTGAGGAGGCCAGAAAACTCACGAGAAAAGGCAAGACCCCGCGGCCTCCTTTTTCTAACCGAGTTGCTATTGGACTTGGGGACCCCATGGTCATGGCTAGAGCATTGGCCTAAAAGCAGAACACAAACTAAACAGATCTTTTCCTGGGTCCCCGGGGTTGTGTCGTGGAAGCAGTCGTGTCTTAAGTTTTTATGAATGATTTTGACTAGAGGAGCGTTAGACCATCTCACAAGCCGGATGAGCCGTCCTTTCTCCCTTGAAATCCCTCCGGACAAAGTTTTTAGGTGCCCGTCTTATTTTTCAGAACCTTCTTCTGACTTTGCCTTGTCCTGAAACTGTCTTTGAGTCCATGAGGTCATACCATAGAAGCTTTGGTCATGAGAGTAATTTTTAAAGCGTGTGACCAAAGTGGCTCATTGCAGCCGATCAGCTAGAGATCACACTGTGCCGTCTCTGCTATTTATCATCCTGTGGCCTGGGTGTTCCCGGTGGCGGGTCTGCTTTACACAGGACACCAGGGCACCGCTGTACTCGGCGTCACTTCAAGTGTGTCCCAGCCAATGCTACCCACTTCCCGAAAATGGGTTTGTAAATATCACCCGAGCCTTTAGATAAGAAAGCAGTTACCTGGATCACTCTAAAAATGTTTATATAAAAAATGTTTGACCCAACATGTTTCTTACGCTAAAATGACAAGCTAGAGAAATTATTATAGGAAAGACACAGTCAGGAAACTGATAAACTTTAGCCTAAAAAAAACTCAGCATCCACTTAACCGAGGGAAATAAACACACACTCGTTTATCGTTACACGGGCAAAAGGAACCCAAGGGGAATTCCTTGCCATTGCCGCCTTCCGCCGCATCGCTCGTCATTGCTGCTGCTGGTTCGTGGGCTGCGGACAGCGTGTGTGCCCTGGAGGCGGCAGGTTCAAGCTCGAGGGAGGGAGCAGAGAACCCGGATGCAGTATCACTGGAAGGGGCTTCTTGTTTTGTGGTTTGAACACACCCCACAGTTGAACGATACTTAAGTCATCACTGATCTCAGGAGATGGAAGGATGTTTTGCCAACCTCACTTTATAGGGCTTTGTTTGAAACTCCCAGGGGGTTGGTTGAGTGGCGTGGCTAAGGGGCTGTATTTCTCACAAGGGCTGCATTTTGAAGACACTGCACCAAACTGTCCCCAGCAGCGTGTCCTAACACTACAGCTCATCACAGAGCCATCACTGAGATGCTCCGTGTTCTTCATTGCCATCCACAGGGCAGAGGGGCAGGAGGGAGGACAGGGTTAGATACCACCGGACAGAACGGTGCTCGGTGGCTGAGCCTTTGCAGAAGGTGGAAGAACACGTGCTTCTGCTGAGTGTGAGGGTTGAGGACTCACGGTTCCTTCTAGACCCTTAGAAGGTAGTCGTGTAAAAAACAATGACTTGAATGATGTGTGTGTGTGTGTGTGTGTGTGTGTGTGTATGCATACACACACTCACATAGACATAAATGTGTGGATCATATCATCTGAATGGAATGTGTGTGTCAAATTTAGAATGAGA